CAATATTCGACTTTATATAAAGTGCATCATAATCAAGTTTACAAAATCTAAATTATACAATATTCAACTATAATAAAATGCGTCACATATTCAAAAAGAAAAAATCATACTATATTTGACTTTATATAAAGCGCGTCATAATCAAGTTTACAATTTAAATTATATAATATTCAACTATAATAAAGCGTGTTGCCATATTTGACTTTATAATAAAAAGTATTAAATTAAAGTGCATTATAATCTACTTTATAAAAAAAATCATATTAGCTTTATAAAAAAATCATGCCACATTTGACTTTATAATTAAAGTATCGAATTAAAGCCTGTTATAATATAATATAATATAATTAGATACTAATTATATAAAGAAATAAATTTTAGCTTACAATAGCTTATAATATTATTCATAATTTATCAAAAATGTCTCAAAAACAAAGTGCAAAAAATATTTTAAAAACCATCAGCCAAGATTCATCTCATCAATCTAAATCTTCTACTTCGACTCCTAAACCATTACCTATTTAGACTCATAGAACATATAAAAGAGTTATATGCAATTGCCCAAAGTGTAAAAGCAAGTTTGTTAATCCTCGTACAAAAGAGCAACACTCTTTAACTACTAGCCAACAATTGTCTCAAACAGATTTAAATGAGATAAGACAACCAGCTCTATCTAAAGAATTAAGTAGTCTAAGTCAATTAAGTGCCTAAGCTAACAATCGGTAACAACAATTGATTCATTGTCAAATATAGAAAGAGATGATAATGAACTTTTACCTAGCCTTGATATAGATAACTTATCGTTTTTACCAAAAAAACGCCAACAAACATCAAGTGCTAAAATAAATATTTTAAATGCAAAAGAACAAGTTATCACTTCGGCAGATGAAAGTAGTGATAATAATATTGTATTAGATTACGATAATAATAATAATGATGATGATCTATCATCTAAAGAAGAATTAGCTAAAGATATTCGATATAGCAATATTAATGAATTTGAAAATTATTTAGCACCGAACATTGATTATGAAAATGAATCTCAACCTAGACTTAGAATACTATCTAGTTTTGATGATATATTAATTTGGCTATTAAAATTTCAAAGTGCCTGAAACAGCTACTGAAATTTTAATTAAATATATTTGTTAACTATTATGTGAGTTTGGTGATGAAAATCTTTTTAAAGATTTTCCAACCTCAATATATATGCTTTGAAAACATCTTAAAATCGGTAACTTTATAACATATTCAGTATGTCCAAAATGTGACAAACTATATACTAAAAAAGAGATTGTTGATTCATAGGATAATAATGGATAATTATCAGTAAAAAAATGTAACTATGTTGAATTTCTGAATATAATTGGATCTAGGCAAATAGTTATACGTAATTCGGCCTTAGTAACACAAAATCGATATCTAAGTAGCACTATTAATAAGCCAATTTTACTTTATTCTTTTGCAAGTATTAAAAGTCAACTTGCAAAAATGTATATGCGTCCTAATTTTGAACAATTATGTAGAAAATGGATTCATCATAATGTTCCTAAAGGCATTTTTTCTGACATTTATAATAGTCAAGTTGGAAAGAATTTGCTGATAAAGAATCAATTGGCGGTCAATTTTTTACACAAGAATCGGCTGATACACATTTTGGATTTATATTAAATTTGGACTAGTTTCAGCTATTTGATGGAACCCAGTATAGCACTAGTGTAATTTATATAGCTATTTCTAATTTACCAAGAGATATTCGATTTAAAGCTAAAAACATGTTAGTTCTTGGCATTTACCAGGTCCAAATGAAGTTCATTTATACCATATTAACCACTATCTTGCACTAGTTGTTGATGAGTTACTTCAATTTTGGGATAGTGTTCAAATTTCAACTTATGAGAACCTATCTAGAAAGACAATCCGAGCGACATTAATTTTATGTTCATGTGATATACCTGTAGCTCAAAAGCTTTGTGGCTATACCTCAGCATTAGCAGTCTGTTATTGATGTGAAAAAAAAGCACAACATGAGGATAGATATCATCATTATGGAGGCATAGATGATATTAACACTTGGTTTATTGAATATGACTTAGCTTAGCATCAACAAAATGCTAAGCAATGGAGAAGATGCTATACTAAATCGGGCAGAAAACAACATGAAAAACTTACTCATGTTCAGTGGTCTGAGTTAATCTGATTACTATATTTTAATCCTATTCGGTTTTTGGCTATTGATCCAATACATTGCCTATTTTTAGGTATTGCAAAATAGATTATAAAGCGATTATGGGTTGATAATGAAATATTAAGTATCAACCAATTAAGGCAAATTCAAATTAAAATGTCAGAAATTCAGGTTCCATCTGACATTTGCCGAATTCCAAGAAAGGTTGACTGTGGTGAAGGGTTTGCTAATTTCACTGCCGATAAATGGAGAATATTTATTTTAATTTATACAACACCTTGCCTGTGGGATTTTCTTCCGGTATCAAATCAAAGAATTCTTACAAATTTTGTACAAATTTGTACAGTTCTGGTTTGTCGAATTATTGATATAACTGTATTAGAAGAGGCACATAATCGGTTTATTCTTCTTATTAAGCAAATTGAAGAAGAATATGGTAAAAAATATATTACACCAAATCTTTATCTAGCACTCTACATTACTCAATGCTGCCTTGACTATAGACCACTTTATTCATTCTGGTGTTTCTCATTTGAGCGGATGAATAGCTATCTTAATTTACTTCCAAATAGTCATAAACAAATTGAACCAGAATTAATGTGTCGGCTTATGCAAGACTGTATAGTTAATGATCTAATTAACCAAACTGGTACTATAAAAGGGCTTGAATTACTTTCAGTAAAAAAAACAATTGGAAGTTTAGCATCATCAGACCAGTTTGAAACTGATAAATTACAAAGATTTTTTCAAATATCAAGGAGCATTGAAACAATTTCAGCTAGTGATGTTAAAGATTTTCCTGGAGAATTTTTGAGTCCCTCAAAAATTCATATAGTTATATCTGATGAAATGTCAAATTTATTATTAGAGTATTATTCAGCTGCCTATCCTGAACATTCATTTCAGATACCACTTAGTGGTATTAGAGATGAAAATTCAATATTAATTTATCTATTTGGAGACCAATTTGGCCGTTTGCGAATTGGTTCAGAAATATTTGGATTAACTATGTTAATTCAGTATATAAGAAGCTCATTTATTATAGCTGAATTTATTAATCAAGATAGAGTTTCTTATGATATATATAGAGGTGAGTCAATAGAAAAGGAACAAATTTTTTCTAAGTAAAAGTTTTTTTGACTTTAGGCTTAAATATCTTGGCAATTATCTTATCAAATTTAATAATTTTTTTTTTATTTTAATTTTATATAATTTCAAGATTAAAATAAAAAAATTTTTAGCAAATTTG